AGACAAGCTGTTAGGAGCCCAAACACTTGTCAGAGTGGCGTGCATCGACAGCAGGGAAATTCTCTGATTTATCGTCCCACAGAGGTGGAGAAAATTATGGAAAAGTAAAAGACTTCCTCTCCATGGACAGGGAACGCTGCTTAAAGACAAGAATCACTGCTAAGGGAAAGTTTTTTTGGTTTTGAGGATTGGGTATTGAACTCAGAACCTTGAGCTTGCCAGGCAGGTGCAGCACCACTGAGCTAACTAAACCCCAAGCCCTAAGGGAAAGGTTTGAACCCCTCCTAATAGGAATAACCGCATTAAAAGACAGGGACCTACTTTCCAGACCAACTCAACCCATTGCACTAGCACTTTTCATCTGACACTGAACAAAGATAACCCTACTTCTGGTCACAATTTAGTATTCAACTTAAATGTGAACCTTCTTTGTAGAAAACTTTTCTTCATATTTCCAAGGCACTTAATTCCCTACATTCTCAAAGATCTTTACTCGTCTCTAGCATAGTATCTTTTGCATCAATGCTGATTCCATTTTTTCTTCTTTCACTAAGCTTGAAGGCAAGTATAGCATGGGCCGTGATGATAAGACTTTTTCGGTTTGAACCCTTTCTGGCATTTATGAGCCAAGTGATCTTGGGCAAATTACTTAAATCTGTCTGTACCCCATGTTTCACAACTGTTAAATGGAGGTGAATATAATAAAGAACACAGCCTAGCGTTCTGGTGGTGAATATGTGGGAAGCATTTAGAAGTATGCTGGCTGGTAAGCATTTAATAAGCAGCATCTGCTGTTAAATTACTATCGAGGGCATGAATACATATATACACACATACATACATCCTTGGGGGGCCAGGAATCGAACCTAGGACTTTTGGAATGAGCTACATCCCCCAAATCCTCCCCACTTTTGAAATATTTTGAAACGGTATCTGTGGGAAGCCAGCCATGGCCCACTGGCTTTTTGAAAGACAACATTTGTTCCTTTTTAAGGACTGCACGTGTTAAACTTGTTTTGACCCTGCACGGGAGAAACTCGGACAGCCCCGAGGGCCGGGCGAGGGCCGTGGGAGGCGGGAGAGGCGCGCTGGGACCGCTGTGCAGAGTGCGAGCATCCCGGGCTGCGTGGACCAGGTGTTGAGGCCCGTGTGAACTCTCGTTCCCGTGGAGCGGGTGTTGAGGTTACTATGGTGATCCTAGCCCATAATAGTTCGGCCTTTCCCTTTAAAAGGCCGGTGCTTGCCAGTAATAAACGTCGCCTTGATCAGACTCTTGTCTTGGCGTCCTTCCTTTCTCTCTAGCCCATCTCCACCCCGCTGCTCTTTCAGGTTTGAGGCACTGCGGGACAGTGCTCTGCGTCGCCGGTTCGCGACAGGTATCAAAGTCGCTGTTTCCCTGGCTGGGATCCAACTCGCCGTCCTCCTGCCTCAGCCTCCCAGAGCAGTATTACAGGCGTGCGCCCCAAAGCCCGGCTGTGTCTCTGTATCCTCGCGGAGCATGTACTTTGCTGCAGTTATAGATGGAGGGATACTTAATGAAAGGGGTAATTCTCATATACTGAATCGCACAGCCCTGTGAAGTGGCAAAGCAGGCACCAGTGATCACCAATGAGGAAAAATAAAAGCAAAACAAAGTCCCCGAAGGGCGGGGCTGCTCCAGCTCAGAAGCTGAAGGTCGCACTGCGACCCGGCTCCCGACCCAGCCCAGGGGCTGACCGACCCCTCCTGCCCTCCCGCCCGGTAGCCGCGCCATGGCTGGCTGTGAGGGACAACGGCAGCCGATCCTGGGGTGGGAGGGACCGGAACCCGGAGAGGCCGCGAACCCGCAGGCGCACGCGCGAATCTCCCACATCGCCGCAACTGTTACGCAAGCGCGGCCCGTCTGTGTGACGTTGTCATCCCGCGCCGCAGGGCAGGGACACTACCTTTCCTCTCTAGGCGGGCGGGCGGCTCGTCTCGGTCCCCCCGCGGTGGTCGGTACACTCTGCCCTCACTCCGGTCAACACCTGGCGCTGGCGCTGCCGCTGGGAAGCCGAAGGGATGCGAGCGCGGGGGTCGACCCAAGGGCCTCCTGTTGTGTCGTTTCGCCCGGCTGCAGTTTTCTTCCCGTGTCACTGCTTTCACCAAGCTGGCGCCATCCTCTCGCACACATTTCACCTGCCAGCGAGTGGCCACCTCCGGGGAACCTCACCCACCTCGCCTACTCTGGACCGTTAGTCGACGGGCCGCCGAAGGTCAGCTCCGCCGCGGGCGTCAATCCAGACTGTCAGCGGCCGGCCGTGACAGATCACCTTACCTCTCTGTCTCCGTCCTGTACAACAGCGATGGCGCCAGATTTCCTGGGCTTGAGGACGAAGCGAGGCGATCTCACGCACACTGTCGTGAACACTCGGCCCCCGAACGTCGGGGCTGCCGTCTTCCCGCGTTCCCTCGCCAGTGTGGACCGCGCAGCCGGGCCTAGCGCCCCTCCGGCCTCGCGGGGGC